CCCACTCGCCCATCTCTTCCCTGGCAAACAGGCCTGGCGCTGCACTGCGGTGCCCACTTGGTCTTTGCCTCATGCATCCTCATCCTGCTGCGCGCCTCGCACGGCCTGGCCGTGTATGCGCGGCGCCGCGAGCTTCTTGTGGGCGCCGCCATCGCCCATCACGCCTCGACCTTGCTGAAGCTCGGTGAGCCCTGGGCTGACCGGCTGCGGCAGCGTGCCGAGGGCTTGAGGACTTGCCGGCCTCACCAGGCACGGCACTCGGCGAGTGGTGCATTGGCCGTGCCCCAACAGGCTCCGCTCCAAGCGCTCCCATGTGCAGTGCTCAGCGGCGGGCTGGACCTGCCCATGCACCATGGCGGAGGCGCGCTGTGGCTGCTTGTCCTGCTGCTGGGCAGCGCACCTACCTTGTGGCCTGTGCTGTCCAGCCGCCACCGCTCCCTCCTCTTTGCCTACCTCCTTCCCGCCTGGCTCGCCATTCAGCCAGTAAGTGCATGCACCAGCGTGTGTGCTGGCCCGCCATGTAGCTGCCACAGCTGTGACCCTCGCGGGGCGGGCGATTCACCCACTCACACACTGGTGGCAATGTTGTGGCATGGTGCGCTGCAGGTGTGGCTGAGCATGCGCTGCCAGGGACTGCTGCAAGATGCGGGCTTGCAGGTGGCGCTCTCAGAGCTGCACCGGTGGATTGACGCGGCGCAGTGAGTTGCGCTCGCTGGCGGCTCTCATCGGCTGCCTACTGCCTGTGCATGCTGCTCAGGAGTGTTGCGGGAGCCCATGCCCGCCGCGCCTGCCCCCCCTGCTGCAGCGGCGCTTCAGTATTCTCTGCCACTGCCCCTCAGCCTCTCACCTCCGCCCAGATGTGCTTTGCCATCAATGCCTGGGCGGTGCTGGCGGCGGCGCTCGCCCGGCTCCTCCTCCACAAGCGCGGCGGCCAAGGCGCTGTGTGGCTTCCTGCACGGCAGGGCCAGGCCCAGCCAGATGGCGCCGAGGGAGAGGCGGCCCCCGGTGCTCCCCCAGCCTGGTGGCCAGCCAACAGCCACGGCATGCACATGTACATGCTCAGTTGCCTGCTGTGGACTGCCATCACAAACCTCACCCCTTTGCTCTGGGTCCCAGCCAGCTGCTAGATGCGGCGGGACCAGGCAGCCCCACTTTCTCCCCCTTGACACTCACTTCAGTTTTTTTCAGAGAACTGGCACTTCCCCTCCTCCAGTCCGCCCTTGAATCAGAACGTTTGTGGCGCCATAAATGTTGTCCGTGTCTGGCGCAGCCCCAAGACAGGTGCTTGCATGTGTGAGCAGACCTTTGGCTTGGAGCCTGCCCCCCGGTATTTGTCTTTTCAGCCTGCCTCATTCATTCCTGTCTATTCACATATGTCACTCACCATCACAAGCCTCCACGCGCTGGAGGCTCTTGCGCTGCATACTTGCACCCATTCATCCACTTGCACCCGTTCATGCCATGACAACTTTCTTGATACCCACTGCATGCTGTGCCCCCTCATCTACCAGCTCACTCCCTAACCCTCACCTGCAGTTTATGTTTGGAACCCCTGCTCTGTTCATAGGGCTGCCCCGTGGCCAATGTTGACATGGCGCCCGCCATGTCGGCGGCAGTGTTGTAATTTCAGCCCTTTACACACGCCCACTCGCATGGGACATCGGAAGTACATTCCAGCTGAGAGTTCTGGACCTGCCTGCAGCAAACCTGAAGGAACATGAATGTGGGGGCCATAGTATGCCAGTCGCTGCCACGCGTATAACGCCTTGCGCGGGGTGCACATCGCCTCTAGCTGGCCACCAGCCAACACGCCGACACCCTCGGCAGCCAGCCGAGCAGGCTGACCAACGGCGGCGGAAGGGCGCCAGCGGTGGCGGCCGAGAAAAGCGAAGACGAGTAGGGGCACCCAGGCGCCACATGTCGCCCCCAGAGGTGCAGCCAGCACGGACTGGGGGCAGCCCGCGCATCGGCAGCGGCAACAGCAGCGGCAACCCTCGCCGGGGCACCGATGGCAGCGTCAGGGCCAGTAGCAGCGCACACGCCGACGGCGGCAAGCTGCCTGCCGTCGATTGGCAGCCTGATGGGCTGCCACGCCTACCCGGCCATCTCCAGTACGACCACTATGTTCCACGCCGCCACTGCCCCGTGTGCTCCCTAGGTAGTGTCGTTCGCCCCACCCGCCACTGCCTGCCACGCAGTGCCAGCCCGGCCTCACCTGCACTCACTGTGCTGCCCGCGCTGGCTGGTGCAGGGGAGGGCGATGCGCATGAGCCGGGGGGCGTGGCATCGCACGCCTACACCCTGCTGCCGCCCGCCGCGCCGCCGCCGCCGCCCCGCGCCATCGACCGCCACGGCCGGGCGCTGCTGGACTCGCTGCGGCGGCCCAAGCAGGCGCCCCGCTGGTGGGGGCCCCGCCACGCGGCCAGGCAGCAGGCGTGGGGCGAGGCGCTGGAGAGCCAGGCCATGCACTACGCCGTCATCTCCCTCACCCTGCTGGACCTCTCGGTGGTGGTCACCGAGCTCATCCTGTCCTCCATCTTCATATCGCACGAGTCCATACCGCATGCAGGTGGCCAGGGGCAGCCCGGATGCGCTGCTGGGGCGCCGCGCGGGACTGCTCCCGCCGACACCAGCTGCCTCGGCACGAGTCCTTGCTCCCTGGCGTGCAGTGCATGTGGCGGAGGAGGCGCTGAGCTGGACCAGCATCACGATCCTGTGCTGCTTCTGTGTTGAGCTGCTGGCCAAGCTGGCCGTCTTTGGCTACACCTACTTCACGCGCAGCAAGTAGGCCCGGACGGTGGGGCGCTCGGTCATGACTCTTGAGCGACCCCGGCTGTCCCCTGGGATGCTTTCCCCCTTGATGACTGGCTGTTGGTGTCTGTCGGTGGCAGGAGCACGAGTGGGGGTAGGCATCGGGGGTTCCCCTGCTGGTCGACCCGCTGCCCGCCTAGCAGCCTCCCGCACCTCCCTGCATTGCAGGTGGCACCTGTTTGATGCGGTGGTGGTGGTCAGCTCGCTGGTGCTGGAGCTCAGCCTGCACAACGTGGCGCGAGAGGTCGCCTCCCTGCTCATCTTCTTCCGGTCAGGCCGGCAGCGGCGGCGTGGTGCTTGTGCCCTGTGCTGCCAGCAGCGTCATGCAGGCACGCTTGCTGGCGGGCTGTGGTGGACCCAAGTGGCATCGCCTGCTGCCATGGCCAGCACACAGCGTGGCGTTTCAGCCCCTGGCGCACTCGCCGCGCTCCGGCACGCCGACACACGCACACCTGTGCACGTGCAGGCTGTGGCGCCTGCTGCGCGTCATGCACAGCGTGGCCGAGGCGATGGAGCTTAACCACGAGGGGGAGGTGGAGAGGCACCACCGCCTGGTGCACGGCCTGCAGAAGGTGGGGCGTGGGCGGCTGGTCTCTGCCTGGCCGTGGCGGTGTGGTGTCATTTTTGTGGGCATGCCTTGTTGCCAACCCTTGCCTTGGTCCTGCCTCCCATGCTGCCCCCGCAGGACCTTGCACTGGAGCACCGGCGAGTGCGGCAGCTGGAGCGCGAGGTGGAGGCGCTCAGCACGGCTGCGGCGGGGGCGGGGGTCGATGTGTCTGCCGTGCTGCGCCTCGCGGCGGCCGCCATGTCGCAGCCCGAGCCGATGCTGCTGGCAGCCGAGGCGGCAGAGCCAGGCAAGGCGGCGGCGGCGGGAGGAGGCGGCAACGGCCCTTCTGCCAGTCACTTGGATGTGTAGCAAGCCCCTGCACAGGGCCGCCTGTCAAAGAATCATCTACTTTGGGCCCTGCTGCGTGCGCTGTGTGGCGTGCCGCTGTGCGGCCGTGGCGGCCAGTGTGCTCAAGCATGTCGGCCAGCCTGTGTGCATATTCCTTCTGGTTTCCGGCAACTCCTGTGAGCTGCACCACCATGGGCGGCCTGGATTTGAGTGAAATAGACACTGGCGACTTGGTCAGGGAGGTGCAGCGGAGGTTGGAGTGCCTGTCCAAGCCCGAGAAGCGGCTCATTCTGATCGGTGCGTGGTGATTATGTGGTGTGTGTGCGGGGCGAGGGGAATGCGGCAGAGGACGCCCACTGGCAGGCTACTAGTATGCAGTTGGAGGCCGGTGGGCCTGGCAGCCTCCACAAACACTCACACAGAACATGCACACGGCGATGTTGTCCCCCGCCGGCCCGATTGCCAAAGGTTCCGGCGGAGCACCGATGAGGCATGCTGGCTGCGCTGACTGCTGCCCCCGCCTGCAGGCCCCCCCGGCTCGGGCAAGGGCACCCAGAGCCCCATGATCAAGAACGAGAACTGCCTGTGCCACCTGGCCACCGGCGACATGCTGCGGGCGGCGGTGGCGGCCAAGACGCCGCTGGGCCTGGAGGCCAAGAAGGCGATGGAGGCGGGTGAGGCCCCACCCCAGCGTGTCGGGGGGGTGGCAGCGTGGCGGCACGCAACCCAACAGCAGGGCGCAGCGGCTCGGCCCCTCCACCAGCCTGCCTGCCGTCCGCCCGCACCGCTGCAGCTGGTCGAGGGGCCCCACTTGCGGCGCTGTGTGGCCGCCCCACTGCCCTTGCAGGCGCGCTCGTGTCGGACGAGATTGTGGTGGGGCTGATCGAGGACAACATGAAGAGGCCCGAGTGCCGCACCGGCTTTGTGCTGGACGGCTTCCCGCGCACCGTGGTGCAGGTGCGCCTCGCCGCGCTCCCCCTGCCTGCCGTCACGTGGCCCCCCTGCCCTCCCTGCCCGCTGTTGCCCTCCCTGCTCGCCTGCCGCCACCGGCTCCCTCCCGGCATGCCCCTGCTCCACCCCTCCCCTGGCCTGCCGCGCCCCCCGCTGCCGCAGGCCCAGAAGCTGGACGAGATGCTGCAGCACAAGGGGCAGACCATCGACAGGGTGCTCAACTTTGCGGTGCGTGACCAGCTGCTGGTGGACCGCATCACGGGGCGCTGGGTGCACCCGGCCAGCGGGCGCTCGTACCACGGTGAGCGCCTGCGGGGTGAGGTGGCAGGAGGGAGGGGGGGACGTGTGGATGGCAGGGGAGGGCAGGTGCAACGGGCAGGTGCTCGGGGGAAGGTGCTCATGGTGCGATGCCGCCGGCTGTGAGCGGATGCCTGCGCCTCGCCTCACGCCCCTCATCCCCCGCCGCCTCGGGCCCCGCCCGCCCTCCCCGCCCTCCCCGCCCTCCCGCAGAGAAGTTTGCGCCCCCCAAGGTGGCGGGGGTGGATGATGTGACGGGGGAGCCGCTGGTGAAGCGCAAGGACGACAACGCGGAGACGCTGAAGAGCAGGCTGTCGGCGTTCCATGCGCAGACGGCGCCGGTGCGTGGCACGGGCGCACGCGGGGGCCGCGCGGCGGGGCCGGGGAGGCCGCGGGGTGGGAGTGACAGTCGCGCGCTGGCCCTGCCTGCATGGCGCCGGACAGTGGCTTCCTGCCTTCGCTTCTCATCCTGTGCGCGCCTCATCCTGTGTGCGTGCCCCCCTGCCCTGCGTGTGGGCCCCCACAGGTGATTGCCTACTACAAGGAGAAGGTGGTGCACATCAAGGCAGACAAGGCGCAGGGGGAGGTGGCGGGGCAGGTGCGCAGGGCGCTGGCGTGAGGGGAGGCAGGGAGGCACTGCCCCCTCACCCCCACACCCACACCCCTCCTCTCCCTTCCCTTCTCCAAACCGAGCGTTGTCAGGGTGCACGGCACCGTGCGTTGTTGAGTTACACAGCAGCTTTATGACGTCCGACAGATTGTGACAGAACCGAGACGAGCAAGGAGGGGAGCACGGCGCTCAGGTGCTGGCAGCCACCGCCTCTGCGCCTCCTCCGGCGGCAGATGCCAGGTCGAAAGGATCTGCAGGAGGGCAAGCAGGCGGGAGGCAGGCCACATGGACGATGCCGTCCTGTCAGCACCTCACACACTTGTAGGAGGAGGGGCGCGGTGAGGTGCGCGTGCGCCAGGGCTGTGCGGCCCAGCAACCATACACAGCGCTTGGGGTGCGGGCATGGGCACAAGCATGCCGCCAGGTGGCACCCAGCCCAGCCCGCTCACCGTCATGCTGCAGCCGGGAGAACCCTGCCCCCGTTGGCGGCCTGGCCTGCTGCCGCGTCTGCTGCTGCTGCTGCTGCCTGCTGCTGCCGCCGCCCGGCTGCTGCGCACCCGCTGCTGCTGCCGCCGGTCTTGCCGCCTGCTGCCGGTGCTGGGCCTGCTGCTGGGCCTGCTGCTGCTGCTGCTGGGGCAGGAAGACAAAGTTGCGCGCCGCCATGGATGGGTTGACAGTGATGCGCAGGCCGCGCAGCCGCTCCTCCACCGCCTCCAGAGCGGTGGGCGCCGCGGCGCCGCCGCCCTGCGCCGCCTCGGCCGCCGTGGCGGCCGCTGCCGCGCGCGCCGCCGCCGCCGCGCGCGCCGCACCCAGCTGCGCATTCAGCGCGGCGTCGTCGCCGCCGCCGCCGCCCGCCTGGCCGGCATCCAGTACCACCTTGCGGCCCAGCAGGTCGACGGTGACGGTGACGCGGCGGCGCCGCGCCTCCTCGGCTTCCGCGGCCTCCCGCTCCCGCTGCTTCAGCACCGCGCGCTCCTCGTCTGCGGCAGCAGGGGCGGCGCGGGGCAGGCGGGCTCGTAGCACGGCACTTCCTACCCTCTTCTTCTTCTTCACACTTTTCCAAACACGACTAGTGCTGCTTCATCACCCCATCACCATAAAAAAATCGGGGCGCACCCGTGAGCCACGCGTTGGCATCAATCTCGAAGAAGTCGCTTTGGTCATCCAGCACCGTGGTGCGCGCAGCAGACGCGCGGTCATACCCCACCAGCCGGTCCTTCAGAGCCACAGCCTCCGCGGCAGCAGAGGCAGAGCCGGCGGCGGCCGCCGCGGACGCGCCCTGCTGCCCCGCCTGCTGGGCGCCTGCCGGGGGGGCCTGAGCGCCCGCTGGCGCAGCGGCCAGGCCCGCCTGCTGCCGCCCGTCGCCGCCACCCGCCGCCGCCTCCTCCTCCTCCTCGACGCCGCCAGCATTGGTGGTGCCGTCTGCGTAGCGCAGCGCCACGCGGCGGCCGCAGAAGGAGCACATGCCTCCCGACTCTGCAGGCGGCGGCGGCAGCGGGCTGGCCCATTGCGGCTGAGGCCGAGGGTGCTGGGGCTGGCACGCGTAGGCAGGCGAGGCAGGCAGGGGGCGGTCAAGCCAGCTGGCAGCACTGCACGCGGCCGGCGGCAGCTGCCCCAGCCAGGCAGGCAGGCGATGGGCGATGATGCTCATGCCACCCACCCAGGAAGCGCCGCGCCTCATCCGACGCGGACCGGCAGTCGTGAATCTTTCCGCACCTGTGATTCGGAGGAGGGTCATAGGCAGGGGCAGGGTGTGCCCGCTGGGTGCGCTGCGGAGGATGCGCATGCACACCCGCACCAGGGCGCTGCGCGGGCGCTGGGCAAGGCAGGGGCGGCGGCAGCTCACCGCAGGCAGTTCACCACCGGCCGCTCCAGCCGCTGCGCGCCGCCCGCCTGCCCGGGCCCGCCGCTGCCGCTGCCGCCGGCCCCCGCAGCCGCTTTCTTCCTGGAAGGCTTGACGGTGGTGCGTATGTTGCGCCCCATGTCCAGCACAGGCTGCGGGGCAGGCAGAGGGGCGCAGACGGCGGCGGCGATGGGCGAGGGGAGCCCGCGCACGAGCAGGGCAGGCGGCCCAGCAGATGAGCGAGGCCAGCCAGCAGATGAGCAGCCTACCGCTGCCCCCTTGCTGCCGCTGCTACAGTTTCAACACCCCCACCTACCTTGGGCTGGTCAGCCTGCGGCGCCGGCTCCGCCGCCTGCGGCGCGCTCCTGCCGCTGCTGCCAGGGCGGGAGCTCGCCCCGCCGCCGCCGCCGCCACCGCTGGCGGTGCTGGGCGCTGTGGCATCGCGCGGGCGCGCCTGCACGCCGGGCGGCATGCCGCAGAACTGCTGCACCAGCTGCCGCGCCTTTGGGTTGCCACCCATGTAAGCTTCCACTAGTCCCTCCACGTCCTCACTGTTGGCAACGGCGGCGGCCACCGCGGCAACCACCGCCTCCGTGGCCTCGACATCATCCCACCCCAGTGCCTTCTGTAGCTGCTGCCGCAGCCATGTCTGGTTGCCCTGGCGCCCTGCCATGACAGGCTGCTGCAGCGTGGCGGGGGAGAGGGGCGACAGGCACACAGACAGCGGGCGCAGTTCGGTGGCGGCGCTGGCGGGTGATGGCCGCGTCCGGTGCAGCATGGCAGCGTCGCTGCGGGGGTGCCAATGACATTGGCCGACATGCGGCAGAGCAGGCAGCAGGTCAGGGCCGCCAGGAGCGTTGGGAGGCCGTGCACTCGGAGAACTATGGGCAAGCGGTGTGCGCACCTCTTTCGCCACTTTAGGTACCTGTCCAGAGCGTTCAGCTGCTGATGTGTAGAATACTGCTGGGGCATGCCGGGGCGCACCAAATTGGACAGGGGGGATGGGGGGATGCAGGCCGAGCTGGCAGCGGGCGCTTCGCACTTCCATACGGGCGCAGCGTGCTCCACACGCCGTCATTCCTGTGTAGGTCTCTGGAACACAGAGAGACCATCCCACTTGCACTACGCCTCCCCGCGATCGGCGCGATTTGTAGCAATGGCCGACGAAGTTATGCTGCCGGCCGCTGGTGAGGCGGAGGAGCAGCCCAAGGTCACCAACGGCGTGGAGCATGAGGCTGGCGAGGAGGTGGACCTGCTGGAGGAGACGGGCAGCGATGCTGGAGGCTCTAGAGAGGAGCGGGTCGTGGTGAGTGCTAGTTACACGGATCGGAACGTGGGGATGGTAGGGGAGGGCGGCATGCCGGCCCATGCCGCCTGCAGCCTTTTTGGCCCGACAGCTCTGCAAATCTGGCCGAACCCCACCAATTTGCGGCGCGTGGCCCTACGGCTCGGCCTGCCCAGACTCCGGCAGCCGGCGTGCAGCCCATTCCCGCAGCAGCGCCGCGTGCTGCTGGTACCCTATGGCCGGGCCGCCGGGCCGGCGCCGTCGGTCGCGCCTGTGCGCCTGTTGCTCGCCTGGCAGCCTCCAGCTCCTGCTCGCAGCAGGCTCGCTGCGCGCAGACCTTCCACAGCAGAACCCTGGCCGCCTGGCTGATTGGCTGGCTGCAGCAGGCAGCCATCAAGCACCCAACGCCCGCCGAGGAGACGCCGCCGGCGCCCGCCCCGCTGCGCCGCAGGTCAAGTTTTTGGTGCCAAATGTGGCGGCGGGCAGCATCATCGGCAAGTCTGGCGCCAACATCACCGAGATCCAGACGCAGAGCAACGCCCGCATGCAGGTGTGCAGCCAGGTGGTGGCGCGCGGAGCGGCCGGGCCGTCGCCCCGCCGCCGGCTCGGCGCGAGCAGGCACATACACGCATCGCTGTGCGCCACATCGCGCCGGCTCCCCGCTGCCTCGGCCGCCCGCCCCCCCTCCCAGCCCTCCCTGCCTCCCCCGACCGCCTCCCCTCCCCTGCCCGCGCGGCGCAGCTGTCCCGCGCCAACGAGTTCTACCCGGGGAGTCCCGAGGGCCAGGACCGCATCCTGCTCGTGTCTGGCACCGTCAACCAGCTGCTGACGGCGCTGCACCTGGTGCTGTCCAAGCTCAAGGCGGAG